TTCCCTACATAACCCAACTGCTAGTAAAGAACGATTATTTTTCGCACGCTTTTCACACAGATTTCACACACATGAATTACGAACTTGGTCGGTTCAATGACAATAGGGATTTTTGGATCCATTCATCGAATTCTCAAATTTGACCTGCAGGACCGGATCTACGATGATGAACAAACGATGTAGTGTGTAGATGCGGTGAATATTGTGGTCGCGAATAAAGCTGACCATTTTTAACTCTTCGATTCCCCGGAGAATTCTATGCTGCATTCAGTCACGGTGTGTATATGCTAACAGTATAATAGACTGTGGTTTTTCGCTTCTCTATGTTACTTTCACACTCCTATACCGCTTTTGTCTACACCTAGAAAACATGGGCTTTCAGGCTGCACTCCGGATTTTTTTCATGTAAAGTGCCTTGTTCTTTAAGACCGCCATTATGAACTTAAATGTAAACTGTATCTGTACTAATAAAGCCTCCAGGTTGACCTACTCTGGATAACTTCTACACTAGTAGAATTAATGAACAGCTAATCTTGAAACGTCAAATTGTCTTAAGTAACGTACAGCTTCCAGGGACAACTTCTCATTGAAGTTTGGTCTTTTGGCTGTAAAACTGAGGCACTACATGCAAACGAGTCTCATTTTGTGTAGATGAACGCATTAGGATAAGCAGGTTGGGTTGAAACCGTAACAGTTATCAGTGACCTGTAGAATGTACTGCATGATGACAAAACATATAGATCTTCTCATCTGTGGGTTTGCGCATTTCTCATCAACACAATCGACTGTTAATATCATTACCCGAGACGGGCCACGTCAATGGTAAGGGACATTGTCAGACATGGCCCAGTTGCGCCCTCAATGGCGTTCATGCATCCAAGCTATTGCCTTCAATGCATAGCTCCATTCCCAACCTGCCCACTTAACAGTCAACATACAGCGCTCTATTTACACACTAATTTATCAGCTCCCGCCTTCAATGCACAGCTACCTATCCCACCTCTCCGAATCTTCGGTGAACGAAACTACGAGAGCTACAACCACTGTACGACCAGTACGCGGTTCTTACAGCTGACAGTAATGATGATGATTATGGTGATGATGCAATCAAATTCTCCAATAATGTTACCTGTCACATGCAAAGGTTTATCAACTTTAAACAAACTTTCAAGCCCATCTAATAGGCTTCTGTAGATTGTACCTTACAGCGCAAATTAAAAAAACCTTTACACCAAAGCATCTGATCGTGCTCGGCTTTTCAACGAGCCGTCCAATGGCACGTTTACAAAAACTGCACTTCGGCAAGACTATCCCATTTCACCCTCATAGGTTAATTTTTTGCGAGGAAAAGGGAACTCGGAATGACGTAAAAACTATTTGACCGTAATATCTCGGTTTTTGTAATTCGACAGACACCAATCTACTATGAATTGAATGTTACAAATGCCCCCGCGTTTCTGCATGCTCTTTGCACCTTTATAGTGCAAACATTTCCTGCATGATTTTCAATCTCCTTTAGCCCCAGCGAGGTTTCAAAATAAGGACCGTAAAACTGTTGGTCGGACATTTGCATTAGTCTCGACTTTACTGTGGTGGAGAACGTCAACGCGCGGGCTAGGAAAGCTCGGGTGGCATTTGCCACCAACATGTATTATTGGTAGCGTCAAAAGCAATTTTCAGTGAGGATTATTGGCAGTGAACGCAAATCGAATGTAATTACAGAAACTGGGTTCGTCAGATCTGCAGGACTCTTCAAAACTTTCATGAACAGTGCATTCTTAGACTAGAAAGAGTTAACTGGCTTAAAAAGCAGTGCTCAAAGGAGGACACAGTGATATAGCCGACTTCAGTGAGTATCAACTAAGAGTGCGTTCCCAATTCCCGCTTTCCAAATAAGGCGCTGAAAGATCCGTATAGTGCCTGCCATTATACGGCTGGCGAAATAAAGGTTTCTAAAATCCAGTTAGGTTCTGATCGATTTTTTGCCTTCCTATAGGGGTCCATCTGATTCAATTTGCATGAGTACCTTGCAAGATATTGATAGTGATCGATCCCAGTAACGTTTCTAAGCGAGTCAACCGTCTGTGTATACTCCGTAATGCCCGAAATTGTCATTGGATCATCCTGCTGATGCTGTTTTAGTGCGTTTATCCTACTGTTATTCCAAAGTGCTGGCACCATGATACTGACCGATTTCTGTTTCCACCAAGTTCCCATTTCTTCCCATTCATGGAACACTACAGAAACATTGTCTCCGTGTAGTTGCATGGCAACTAGATGCCGTACACTGCTACTGAGTACAATGTGATAATAATCGTGTCTTCTTGTGCATCATCATTCCGTTGAACCAGATTGTGGACCCCTTACAGCACAAAGGTCTCAAACTATCGCCGGTGTCTTCAACTTTGCCAATGTTAGTGTGATATTCTAGACTGCCATTTCTATTTAAGTAGTTGAATACATGTGCTCAAACTGACCAGTGTGATCTGGATAGTTCCGGCGATTCGACTACGAATCCGAGTTCCATGGCAGACATACGCGAGAACGTTAGTTACCACAATAACAGTCTGATGTATCTTTTAATTACGACCGTATTTTCGGTGGCGTGCATCTTTTTTGGGCACTTTTTGCCAATCTCCGTGATAGATGTCTCCATTGCATCTTAGCTTTTCCTCGAGTAAACGGAGTGTAAAAGGACTTCGGTGCACATATCTGATGAAGTATGTGTAATCACAACCGAACTTGTGTGTTCTTGCTTCCAAGGACTGTGAGATGCACGGTACGTCTACTCTAATTTTAGTTAATAATTGTGATAAGAAGACGAACCTTTTCTCGAAGTGCCAAACTGCTTTAGGAGACGCAAAAATCATATGAGCCACCAAATTTTGTTCCTCACAACCTTCTTCACAAAGATCAATGCAAGTGGTAACTTGGTCGTAAACTTCCCAGGAGTGGTATTCGGCCGCCGGAAACCGATGTAAGCAAAGGAAACTAGCAAAAAAATGCAGGCACCACCGAGAAAGTTCTAGTCATTTATAACGTAAAGAGCTTTCATGGCTAAGGACAATCTACCTCTGGTTCAATATAAGTTTATATCATCAAACTTCAATAGAACCACCGGTTTTAGCAAGAGAGGACCGCTTGTTGGCTGCAGTTAATAAAATGTGAATGGGAGTTTTCCTTGGTTGGTGTGTGTTTCAAGATGTATCAGCAGCATTTCCCTAAATGCTCACTCAGACTGAAACTGACAACAAGAACATCACTGACACCATTTATCCGCCACGTCTTTCAACTTCTAGAACCAATCTCATTGAAGGCCGGCCGGATTCATCCTTGAGAGTAGGGCTGCGCCATCCACGTCTTGCCTTTTCGTATTCCTTTTAACATTTCGTCAACCCCCAGGTTTGCGTCAATCTAAAGGAGGAATGTTCAGCAGCATTCCTCTGGTGAGATGACAGCTTGGTAGGCGAAGCTCTTGGCTGTGTCACCGCCGTTGATTGTATTAGATGTTTTTACTATTGTGGTTTATGAGCAAAATCAAACATCCTTTTAGTATTTGCCTGATTACTTGTTCCATATTTATGCTCGATTCAAAAGCTTTTAATAAAATTGCTCTTTTTCGAGGACCTCGGTGAATGTGGAAATTAGCGCACTCAAGCAGACCAGAAAATCCCGGGAGACCATCAAACGTTCAGCGGAATTTCGAACTCCCAAAACTAAAACTTAACAAAGGTTCCAAGAAATTGGTTTTAATTAAAGAATACAAAGCTAACTGGCCAACTAGTTGTAGCTTAAAAGTAATAGGTTCCTATCCTATGCAAATGCATATTGTCCTTCCGGTCCCTAGAATTTTCAGCAATACAAAGAAGAAAGAAGTCCTTTGCAAAGTACTTCTCTATTTGCATTGTGCAATATATAAGTGGGTATAATGTTTCTATAATATTACATAGCAAACTGAAATTCCTAAGAATGAAATCGAGAAGTTTCGGTATATCTAATAGATAGTTCATTGTCATCTGTTCACAGGGACACTCCTTGACAAACCGTAACGGGCATTTTTGGATTTGGGTAAGTCACAAAATATGTGCTGAAGAGGAGATGTGAACTAGATGAGTTATCACGCACATTAATTGGTCTACGGGTACATTGCATGTCAAAAGTAATTTCCACTTGTTATCATGCAAGTCATTGTTTCTATTAACTATCAACCATAGCTGTTGGACATTCTTCCTAGCATCCTAAATAGAGAGTAGTGGAAGTCACCTCGAAAAGCAGTTTCTCCCTTGAGTCCTACGTCTTAAACCTTTACTAAACTTTATTAGCAGTGTAAAGCAGCATGTCACACGGTAATCAGAGAAAAACAATATCGCTGATCCATTACACAAATCTGCAGAAGCAATTAACGGTGGGTCATTAAGTGTCTGCTATCCAAAATAGACATGGAAAGTTGTTTCACCATTCTTTCCGAGGATAGTGTATTCTGTCAGCATATACTCAGAGCTGAACCAGTCACCTCAGTGCATCCGACACATCTATGTAGACTGGCGGTCTTGGAATTCTGGTTAACAAAAAAGGGAAAACAGTTAGCTAAAATTTGTTACCCTATCTGCCACACTAACAAATTCAGACTTTCCATCAAGTGGACAACATCAACCTCAGGCTCTGAGCCCTGATTGGTCGATAACAAGGTCGCACGATACAACTAACCATTGATCGGTAAACTAAACTGCGAAAACTTTCTGGTCAGGTCAGGCAAAACTCACTCGTTGAATAACGGCTTCTTTGGCACGCTCATATTTCTCCCATTGTGGGACATTTTCAAAACTGGCTTCTTTTGCCAACTGAATATGTTGAATTGCTTCACCGGTGGTGCTAACTTTATCATGTGTTTCCTCGATTGGTGTCTGATCTTTGATTTCCGTGTGCGGTTTTGGTAGTTCGGCGTCAAAGAAACAAATTCGGTACCAATTTTCGAATTCTGTGGCAAATGGAAGCGAACGTTTAGTCAGTACGTCAAAGCACAATGTAGAAAGCATAAGTAACGACAAGCGGAAAACACAAAATGAACATAACCCCTCTTAAGTAAATAGGTTACGAGCCAGTGCGAGGTAGAAGAGAAAATCCAGGCAATATTATCAATAAACGTTGACACACCTGAAGAACAGGCATATTATGCGGTATAATTAGACCCCAACAAACATTCCGTCTTTGAGCGGTTCAGAAAACTTTGATGAACTGAATAGTCTCAGAACCAGCACTTACATCGGTGTATTATGGTCGTGCAACAACAGGCAATCCCTACAGAATAGATAATTAAATAAAAGGACTGAATATTAGACTGCGGTAAGCTTTTTTCGTTTTTATCTCTGAATTCATTCAGAAAAGTGTAAACCGCTTGCAACTATTGTTTAAAGCGTATCCACCCTGCGAAAGGGATGGACAAAAGGTTCGCAATCAGAAAAGTGGCTGAAAATAACAGCACCTGGAAGTTCCATGATAACCTCCTTAACACTGCGTCATGTTATCGTAGGCACTACTAAGAATGTTTTCGAACAACACCGTTTTTTTCTGTCTCTCTTCTGAATGAGAGAGAAATGGCTTAAAGGACCATTTAGATGGAGCCTATTCTAGCTGACGATTCTCATGTTTCAATCATGCCAGTAATGGCTTATTCGCTCCTTCCCTGTCAGCATCGTGATGATTAGATTTGAATCTTTAGTTCCGAAATACTGATAGCTATTTAGGACTCAGAAGTGAATGTCTTGCCTGACGAGCTTAGCAAGGTTTTGTCAACATTCAAGAATATGTTGACTATTCGTTCTTGCGTGAATGTTTTCTCCACTCGTACTCACGTTTATATAGAAGAAGACTGCATATCTCTGGTTTGACTGGCTGACGATAGATCTGGCTGTAGTTGTCTACAGCTCATCGGTGAACGAAACTGTGGCAGCTACAACCAGTGTACGACCAGTACGCGGTTATTACAGCTGATAATGATGATGATGATGATGATGTCTACAGCTCAGCCGTAGATTGCTCTTGCGTCATAGTTTGTTTTGGATAAATTTGTCCGCTGCGCCGGTATCAAGCGTGAAAAAGATTGCAAAGGCTTACTTCCCTATGCACACTTCTAGAAGCGATAGCACCATTCCTCGGATGCATCTGTCGATCACTTGCATGCTCCACGTAAAAGCATTACTGGATCGATCATAGATAACAAACGGCCCCTCTTGGAGCAAGAGGATTGTAAATGGGCTAGGCGACATACGGACGTCTTTCCCGTCACTTAAAATAGCGTCAAACTATTTCGGTTTTCCTTATTTTTCAGCGTGCCCGTGGCCACTAAAAGGAAACCAAGTCCACTTAAGAGGCCCAAGCATGCTCATATAATAAGGCTTTGAATGTTTTCCCGTTGGAAACTGCACTTTGGTGTGCTCAAGATGGACATTTGCGGCTTTGTGAGCCTAAGAAGTCCATTAGAGTTTTACATATGGGTCTCGTAACTAACAATAACCCCCGCACAATGATGTCGTATTTGTAGCTAAGTTTCAAGATGGTTATCTTCTCTTAAAGATCTGCACCCGCAATGGGTTACCGCAAATTGACTAGACTACACGCTAAATTCAGTCATTTTAACTTGAAAGGCAGTTAAGATAAGGTAAGTATTAGGTTTTTTCAGTGGGAATATGCTCAGTACATCCAAGTAAAATACAAAGAAGTACCTCAGTTATGCGTTCTTAACATGATGTAGTCAGCTCACCAGATTTTCGATATTCCAGCGTGACTATCTCGAAAATGGAACTCACAGAGCATGTGTGCACTTTCAACCAGTGAGGCTGACTAACGGCCGTAGTTACTCCATTACTGAGAGGCATCATCATCACTATCAGCTCTAAGAACCGCGTACTTGTCGTACAGTGGTTGTAACTGTTAAAGTTTTGTTTACCGATGATTTGGGTGAGTAGCTGCGCATTGGAGGCGAGAGCTTGAATACAGGGCTGTCAGAGGACCTTTATGTGGGGAGATTGGAAGGGGAGCTATGCATTGAAGGCATTAGCTTGTATTCACGAGCGTCACTGAGGGCGTGACTGGGTCAACTCTGCCAATGTACTTAACCATTGACAAAACCGACTAATCAGTAAAGCTGATTTAGACAGTCGAGCAAGTGCATGCGCAAAATGGATATAAAAATGCTCCGTAATCTTCCTTCTAATTGGTTTCTCCATTAACAGTGCGTAAAACGTATGGCGTTTTTGGAGAATAAATCCCAGAGCAATTCCCAGCCACTTGTTACCCTCTCCATTTGACATGGTTTAATTAACTAGTAGTAGGGCCATTTTCTGTGCCTAGCATTACTAACAAGAAATTAGAGAGTGTACTGCATGAACCATCCCTTCTAGCCCCATAATTACGAACACGTTGTTTGTAGAATTGACCATAATTTTTCTTAAATTTAGATATGATCTCGTGGTTCTTACTTTGATTTATTAAATGTCATGCAGGTCATAGTGAAACCGGATAGTCACATTTTTCGGCCGATCAATAACAGATACATTATTCGTTGAAGATTCTTGTAAGAAAAGGCCATTAAGTGTGATTTTCACTGACCGTGAACAAGCCGCGCGCGACTCAAATCGACCATCTGCCTGCAATATTTAACCGCTTGCTTCACAGCCTCCCACTCCTCAAACTGTTGTCGGAATTCGGTCTCCAGTTCTCCGACTTGCTTTAGCAAATCGAATTCCTCTTCTGTGATAATTTGTTCCATCTGATCTGTGTAAACAAGCCCTGCGGGATAGTGCAGATAAAATGAGTCGACATTAGATCAACGGTTAGCATCATCAGTATTACCATTCCCAGAGGCAGCAAATGATAGCACATGGGCTTCATGACTACTAAACTTTGTTGCTAATGAAAACACAGTTCTTCAACCACTATCCCTCGATGGCACCAGAACTCCACACAGAAGAAGTTTCCAACCGACCTAATCAACCTTCTCCTTGCCATTTTTAGTGACAGGGAACTTATCGCTCTGGTGGGCACATATCAGATTCTTTGAAAATGACATCCGCCTCTCGTGTTCATTGATCTGTTGGGAATAAAGTTTGCCCCAAATGGTTCAAAGTTTGCGCAACTTTCATCACCAATAGAGGTGATATCATCAGTGCGTTTTTGGGGAGCGTGGTGGTGCATAGCGGTGGGTTGGTGGTTGTGCGTTGAGTTGTGTTACGCGAGCAAGCCAACGGCCATGAGTTTACTCTACTAATGGGTCCACAGAAATGATCTATCCTACCTGAGCTACCAACATTCTTCACCATAGATTCGAAGTTTTTATTTAGTAGTCAAGCAATCGCATTGCGGACATGAATAAAAGTGCAAGTTTTGTCATAAGAAGACCACTCGCTCATGTATAACCAACCGCAGAGTTAAGAAAGCTCTACGGTGTCACTGGAAAACAGGTCCGGTGAGCACAAGTTCATTCAAGTGATTGGTAATAACTTCAATTACCCAGCATTCTTTCTGGATGATGTGAGTCAAAATAATGCCATGGAATCAGTAGCCTGTTTCAGTTAACGGAATTGACCCCCGGTTTAAATTTCACCTCCTGACACGAAATTCGCATCCAGGAGTTTAAGCAATGGTCTCTTTGTTTTGCTTTGCACACAAATGCTCACAAGTGCATGGCCATTTAAAGGTTGGTCTACCCTTAGTGATCAGTCAGTTTAGTGTCCATTCTACGGTATGCGGGACGATGTATTACCCTGTTTTTTGCAGCAACATTCAGTCAACTTAGAAAGTGTCAAACGGTCAAAAACTTGGTTTTATTTGCGCGTAATATATATATATATATATATATTATAAATATATATGTATGTATACGCATTTATGTAATATAGGCTGAAACCGGATATCTTCTTTGAAGTTACGGTGGGTGGGTAAACGTGATACCCATGCAGTTACACACTTTGAACCAGTTTTGTTTACCGAGCACCCTTAGTATAAAATATTCCTGAGTGTGGGGCGAAATGGAGACAAAATGGCATAGTGAGTCATTTTGACAATCGTCTTCTGGCGCACCCAAATATTCGTAGAAAAATTAGCCATGCGTAACCGACCCTGGTTTGTGCTCAGCCGTGACACATCCTCGATCAGGCATGAGCTCTGTGGACTCGAATTCAACATGTCTTACAACTAACTGTAAGTTGTCACTTAGCGGATCAGGACACCAGTCATTTACTGACGTTGCTGATAATGTACCCACGATAAAGATACAACCATTGTTCTTGGAGAGAACGTTTTCTCTTACAACGATGAATGCCATATAGATAAGCTTGAATGTGGAACTATCACATGTCTTCCAGTTACTCGGAAGTGAGTAACGGTTCATCTTGTTACCTTGATCCGTCCAATTTAATTCCACCCAGAACCACTTCCGAAGCTTTTTTTAAGTTGCGTTCCAATGACCCTTGTACTCAGTGCGAAAGTACCAAATTTTCATTGCGCACCAAGTGACCTTCCTAAGAAAAGGTCATTTGTTTCGATGTTCTTCCGTATGTTTCTTGAACTGGCTTTGCGAATATACTCAGAGACACTGTGACCTCTGTTGCTGGTTTTACTTCCTGGAAGGCCAAAGCTAGATTTATATTCGCTGGTCACACTTTGTTTCGTTGTACGAAGGCATATCTTAGGTCTGAAACTACCCACTCAGTAGAGACTTGTCTTCGTGGTAAAGGCCTGTTGTTCGAGCATGGTTTACCGCGACCTTACACCGTTTTTGGTGGTGATGTACCACTAGGTGGATGAAAACTACCCTGACACACTAAACAGAAAACGGAGGCTTGGTTTAATTTATCCTTAGATTTATATTTTCAACATCAATCACCAAAAACTTTTTGCCACGAAAAGAGTGAAAAAATCTTTTTGATCTATTTCTTTTGAGTCAGAATTCACGCAGTTACCTCATTTGCTAAATCTGTACCGTTCAAATGAAAGAAAAGTTTGAATGCACCAGTGAATGGATTTTTAAACAATTAAATGAATTTTTGAAAAATGAATGAGTGCATGACAGGCTGATGGGTTATTTTACTGACTTACAGAGCGACTGATTGACTAGCGTTTAGATCATAATGCATCATATCTCACCTTGGGCTTCACGTTGAGTCTTGAGTTGGAGTCGTTTTGCCTGTAGCAGCTCCAGTCGATGCTTGTATTCATTCACGCGGCTTCCAACAATCTTTCCTTTTTCAAGTTGTTCAGCTAGAATCGCTGGAAAAAAATGTACGATATGAAATAAATCTGGAAAATTTTAATAACTTGGCTGTGGAACACTTGAGGTAAGCGCGCACCAGGTAGCCAGTCGGAAGAACAAAGATTTCATTAGAAAAAATAGGAGCTTCTCTGAAATTTCTAAAAAGTTGTCCCATGTTTTTACTCACACAAGTGATACACAGACTACCAAGAAAGGAATATCAGGGAATCGTATCAGGGATTATATGTAATAGGAAATGATATAGATAGTTGAAAACGTCACTTTGAACGTGATTGATCCGGAGAAGCATGAAGCTGGATCACGAAAATGGTCAGGTTGGATGGCGTTGGTGGCATAATAAAATGGATGAACCTTGTCAAAACCTTGAGATGATCCAACTGGAAGCGTGGGTTGGAGTTTTCATGTGGGAAACCACGGACGTCGTAAAGAATTGCCTGCCGACTTAGATTTTTTTACTGACCAGCTCTGATTCGAAAACATGGTTTTTGAAGATGGAGATATGACGTTAAACACAACAATGAGAGCTCACAGTTCGTGTCTAACTTTGATAAAGGAGACTGGATTATAATGGCAAAAGTGCTTTGCTTGGTAAACTTACCATTAAGAAACATTTGAGATTTTTCGAGAATCGCAGACATTTGTGACGGAAATTCGATGCAAAAACTAGCTGGGAGGTACACTATAAGCAAACCTAAAGATGGCCTCAAAATTTACTAAGCAAAGAAGTTTCTCACCATCTATCAAGAGTAATCTCACCAGCATTTTCTGCCGGTAGAGAATATTGATGAACCACTCGGCTTGAGTTAAAGTTCAATCCATTATTCCGCATAACAATACTGATCGCAGTCATCATCTGGTCCTCGTTTTTGGGGGCTTGCTGTTGCCAAATAACTTTTGAGTGCTATGTTTTGCTCTACAGGGTTTGATTTGAGGTTGAACAAACCACCCCAGAACGTTGTTTTCTTTCGGGGGTGTAACTTCAAGCTTTGATCGGCTTTTTAGCTGAAGGAGCAAAATACAATAAAATTCCTACAAATGCGCATTTCCGTACTTTCCCTGTTGGCAAGCTTTTCTTTTTTCACTGTGTCTTGGTTATATACGACGGGCTGACATGATAGACGGCATCTTTCTTGTAGACTTTCTCGCGTTTAAAATAGTTTATAAGAGATGTCTGTATGAAACAGCGGTGTTGAGTGACTGTTGGGTGTGAAAAGCCTCCTTGATTCAATGCAGTTTATAGGCTATTCTAACAACCATCCATCTGGTGTCCAGTGCAATAACTGCTTAACTTGTCATTCAAACAGTTTGATTTCGCCAAAATCGGTCCTTTTGTTGATCAGATGGTGGCTTGCGTACAAAAGGTGCGTTCCGAATTAAGTGACTGTTAACTAACTCCAGATGTTGGCTTGCGTACAAAAGGTGCGTTCCGAATCAAGTGACTGTTAACTGTGCAGTCTGGAACCCCGTTATTTTTTTTGATGAACGTCTCCCAAGTATTTCCCATGTACATTGGAAAGTGCTGAGAAAACGCACTACAGCTTTTTCATTCACTGATATTTCTTCCAAGGTGAGTAAAATTGCATTGTTTTCGTTATACATTTGTAAACATTCGTCAAATATGAACAGGGTGATACATTTGTCTTATCCTTAACAGACTGCTCCTACGTTGAGGTGGAGTGAGTTTATTATTCCTTGCACTTTTTAGGAGACCAAATTAGAATAGTCAGTGGTAATGGTGACCAATGTCGTTGTTATTCGTCGTTGAGTGTTCGGAGTCAGCAAAAATTTCGGGTAATGAAACGAAGCTTGGTGCACGGCCTGCGACAGGCCAAGACTTTTGAAGATCCTCAAAGTGAATGCTGCTGACTGTTTAGAAAGTCAACTATCTAGGAGCAAGCTAAAAGGTAAAACGGTTGCCGAACTCAAAAATGAGAAAAATCAGGCGTCCGAGTTTTGGTAACCTGGCATCACCTTAAAGTCTGCAATTCACTGGTTTAGTATCCGTCACAAAACAAAAGTATACCAAACCTGTAACTGACCTCTGTTGTTGGTGAAGATATTGATCAGCTCTCGACCAGCTTCCTTTTGGAATTCTTCAAATGCCTGGGCTCGAGTCGGGGGTCTGTAAAAGAATAACAGTGGTATTAAACCTAGACCTGTTAACATCTTCGTCAGAATTATTTAAACCGTAATTAATCTCTACCAGTGACCCTTTCAAAGAGAGAGGTCATCACAAAAAAACATTTCCCTCTGTAATCGCTCCTAGAGGATACCACTGCACTCACAGTCGGTGAGAAAACAAAACGTCGCTCTATAAGCGCCCGTTTCATTCTGCAAATAAATGACATGATTTGAAGGTCACACTTCGCCTACGCAGATATAACAGTTTGTCGTACCGATATATGGCAGATATCTCAAAGTTTCCAGATTATTTTTGTTTTCTGAACTTATTTTGGCTCGGCCCACACTTCAGCAAAACTGCGCGCTCAATTCCTTGGGGTTGAAATAGTCGTGGAAATTAACGCTACACACGAGTGGAGAGAAATTGAGATAAATCTGCTTTCTGAAGACTCCGAAAATTGCGAATTTCACGTTTTTGCATTAGATCGCATCCTCGCGTTACGCACTCATTTGCTTGTACCTGCTTGAGTTCCCGATGACCGGCGTATCATTTTTATTTCATGTGCCCCTCACCCACTCAGTTGGACCACGGACAACATGAACGCCGGCTGCATCTTTCAACGTCCAGTGTCTGCAGCCAAGCCAGATCCGGATTTTCGCTAGGACAGGCTTGCATACTTTGGACTTCCTCACCTAAAGCTGATACATGACTATATGCATCGATCCCCTGAAGCTTGAGGCATGTCGCAGTTCTCAAACGCCGAGTCTGGTCGGTAGGCATCATGAAATATGATGTGTGTGTACGTGTTCCTTTCACCTGGACTCAAAGGTCCGTTGTGCGTGGCCATGGTGGCAGGTAAGCACATTACGGTATCGACCGACAGACATGCTGGCCTCGGTAGGCAAAATGTAAATCTAGAGAGGTTGTACAAGCTTCAAGGCGTGTAGATTGAAGTTAGGCTTTCACAAATCAACTAATCACGCATTCGTAGCTTGTCCTTAAAGAACAAATTAGACATTCCAGGCTCGGTGCCTCGAAAAAGACTCATTAGCCATCTCGACTATGTCATTCAGTGAATAGACTCTTTGGATACTAATTAAACGAACCTCACATTTATTCACCAGGGTCCAGTAACCGTGATGTAAGTACAGAAGCTATTACCATGTCAGTTGGCCAAGAATTCTTGACAGATCCAGTATAGAACTACTGAGCCAAACCCATATAGATCTTTTGGCGACATGTGCCCATATATTCCACCATTGTTCTTTTTTATTCATATAGGAGTCACTTATACAACATGAATTAATCCACGCCTCAGTTACTGCGAAATCCTCCTAAATGCGCAGTATGCCCGAGGGTTCAATATTTTAGATACTGCGCATGTGGTTTTGCCTGTGAAATAATGTGTCCTTGTGAAACGTTTCCATTCAACGGAGGGAAAATGTGATAGAGGGGAGGATAATACAGTCCTACTAAAACGGTCGTAAATCTTCATTATCATTATTCATGACCAATATTGGAACAGGTCTACCAACAATGTTACTGTAGAGGACTGGTCACCATAGGTGGGATGCTCTGTAGCGACTAGTTGCCACATTGATTCTGTGGTACTCTACACTGTTGCAATATGATCACACCATTTGCCAAAGCAGAACGCACCAAAGAGTTATCGTAACTCACTCATCGACTTTCGATTTTTGCCCCTGAGTGGGTTCCGTTGACGACCCAAATGAACCTTCAGTCATGGTTTTCGGTTGAGCGCGTTCTTTGAGTCTGGACTTCATTCAGAAAGAAAATTAATAGTGGATTATGGAACTGAAATACGATTGTTATGGCACACGGATAAGTCTAGCTTGTTAGACCAAGCTTGCTAAAATTCATTAGGTCATAATTTTGTTGAACGTGATGCATACCTGTTTGACAACCGAATGCTTGGACAGACTATAACGTTCGATATGACTTAATGTCCTGCCCCACGGAGCTCGAGCTGCTCATCAAAACGCCACTCACTCTCCTTCAGTAGCCTTTCTGGCTTCCGATTCACTTGAAGTGAAACACAGATCGAAAGACCCAAACCTTCTCATACTACCCCAGACAAAATTGTAGGCTACTACTGAATGCGCACGCTAGATTGCTCTTAGTCGGTGAGATATTCTGCTCATCAATAATGAGCCAAGTTTACTTGGACATAATCCTAACATACACTCATGGTTCAAGGTCAATGCGAGATGCATTCACTCAAAGTGGATGAACTTTCTATCGTCCATATTGGTTGATTGCTCGTCCTGACACAAACATGCTCAACATTCTGCCAAAGTTTTATTGACCGAGTCAACTTTTACGTGAGTTGTTTGGCATTGTCATTGTATATGTACCTTATTAGTAAACCTAGTTAACTCTGTTTCACGTGTTTTTGGTAGAAAGTCCCACCAAAAATGAACCTATCCCACAACCCTGTTGTTGTCAATACAGCCATGAAATTTATTGGGGATTTTAGTTGAACTCTAGACTCAAATTTCTCAGATGTAGGGTGAGACAACTGGGAAGTTACTACCACGAATCTGGCCAATATAACATCATAAGGGAGATGCTGCATCAGTCGGTGTGTGCTTGCAACTTACCTGTAGATAAGCGCTGTCCTGTGTGATGGAAATTGGAACAGAACTTGTCAAATCTCTCGCTGTATATCCAAAGCCGCTCGTTGGATCAACATCCCCCAATTTTGGTGTTTCTATCAAGACTGGGGCGACAGCATCCGCAACACGATTTTTCCTGTTGCGCGCAATCCGTTGAATTTCTTTCACTGGCTGTTGAGGTTTATCCACCTGCTCGGTATTGTCCTTAAATTGTACTTGACACTGTTCTGTCAACTGTTCCTGAAGGTTTCTGGAAGAGCATGGCAAAAAAGAATACAGAGAAATTCAATGATCGACTTATGCGACAAAAGTTAAATGGCATGTGTCCCACAACTATTCGTAACTTACCGGTTTATTTTTCTGAAGGAATCGAACATTTCTTTGAGTTGGTTGGTACTTGTTATCTAAAGAGTACAAAGAGAAATACGATGTGATTCGGTCCACTCTCAAAAGGATTTCTTGATACTCAGGGGCTAACACATATGAGTACTTTCTAAGGGTTATAAGGTTGCTATTTGAGTAAACTTCGCTCTAAATTTTGGAAAGGTCCCGTCCAAAAACGTTCAGGAGTATAAAACGTGTAAGCTGTAGAACAGTCCAGAAGATGCTTGACATTTATGCTATCAGATTTTAGAGGAGGCGGTGTGATGGCTCAGTGGTTAGAGCACAAATTTGCTGACCGGAAGGTATGTGGTTCAAACCCGATCTCCGGCTCTCGACTTCCTCTATCTAGGCTTGATTGACCTGGGAGCTTCTTCTATCTAGGCTTGATTGACCTGGCAGTATCCCAGCCCTCGTGCTTCCTTCGGGTGGCATGGTAGCTGGGCACCGAAATCACTCTACAGCTGAACGATTGTTGTTGTTTTTATTACTTTCAGAGAAAGAAATTCTCCGGCCGGAGGGCAGCCAGTACATTTATTAAGTACAGTTTACATATGGTTTTTGTATGTATTTTTGTGATAATGCTATACTGACAGCGTGTTCGTATCTGGCGGGAATTGTACTGTGATCAAACCAATGCATACACGCATTAAACAACTCAAGACTTTTCAGCCTGATTTTTTTGTATTGTTCTGGGAATATTTAAGGCAATCGTTTAGCCTTGACAATGCTTTGAGCATAACAAATCCTATTCTAGCCGACTGTGTTTAAATATGACCGCAAATTCTGTTTTTTGGCACTTTAAAAGACGAATTCATCTGGAGCCTTGCCAGTTTATTCACAGGTCTTTTTCTGCATTGTGTCTCAACAAGCCAAATCACCAAGACCAAAACCACTTTGGATCATTCTTAGAGATACCAAGGCAAAACCACCCCAAATCACACTGGTAGACAGGTTTGCTCCTCGATCCGCGTGGTTTAATCTCTTTGCGATTGCGTAGGTTCTGCTGGTTGAAAGCAAAACACCTGGAAACGGTGAGATATTCTTCCATTTTGATTGGGTGAGCTGCTAATTCACATCCGATTGATCTGCACTGGCACGTCACCGCCTGCTGATGGATTTAGCGCAGCTTGAAGCCTTTATTCTTATTTTTCTGTGCAGACGTTGATCTATCCTTCGTAACTTGATATATCCCAAGTAAAACGTTTCCGCCCAGACCCGATCGGTGGTCGTAGTATAGTAGGCTAATTTAGAATGGTCTAGATCAAGCTAATTCTTGAAGCAAGAAAACAGTAATCTGAATGAGCACGTTAAATTTCAAGGCATCCATAAGTCCTCCGCTAGCACGCCAGTCTACCAGTGAAGGGAAGAAGGCCTTCGCTACGGAGTTATTTATTCGGAAATGCCAAATGGCCGGTTACGGACCATTGAACAGGGAAGCAAAACTCTAATCTGCATCTTAGTTACAAAAACTAGACACAGATCTTCTCCCGAATGAGTCTTCCTGGAGATTCATTGGCTCCAATCATTCGTCGGTCAAATCCAAGCAAATGTTACAAAGTGGCCCCGCGAATTCCGCAACAGAATTCCCTTTTTCACTCGACGCAAAGCGAAATTCTACGAACAACACAATACTCGCGTGCCTCCCGATCACTAGTATCACCGTTACACCAGTGCCATCGTCTACTCCTCTGACTTAAGGAATTAGCAACTGGGTACTACACAAGAAATGATTCCAACAAACAGAGAAAGCGATAAAGTTTCAGAAAGTTTCAGAAACCGTGACTATTTCAGTCCAAAATGATGCGCCGTAAGGGTTTGTCAAATAACTGACAAAAACATTCAAATACGTTTGTTCAAGGTGTGTTAAACCACCGTTGATATAGATATCGAAGTGGCGCAGTAATTACGACGAAATCTCTTGTCTACAACACAAGATGCTGTTTCCACTCTTGCTGTTTTAAAGGCCTGGGAGGCCTAGCATTATCAAACTCATATATTTCGTTCTTTGGGTTGGTTGTCACTGCTTCACCATAAGTACACCTCAGAAGAACCGCTAAAATAGCGTCAGTACCGTATTATCAGGTTACCTAATCTGGCAGAACATTAGCACTTCAGATGGCAGATACTCACATCGTCTTTTCAGTCCGACATCATCTCTTACTGTGGCGCCGTTAACAGAGGATTTAGTCATCCAATTCCCAGCTTCTTAATGGAAATTCTTTTGAAACTCCATGAGCTTTTAATGACATGCAAACAGTACTGTTACCTGGTATCATCACAATGGTTTTCATGATGATACTTTTCTAGTCTTCCTGGCCCTTCTTGAGTTTAAGAACAGTGCGTAATCATTCACCAAAAGAAGGCGGAACAGTTCGTTCACTCTGTCATGAGCTTCGCACTTAAAATTGAAGTAGTTCTCCGACTGACAACATAACTATGGACAACTCAATCCATCGAAAAATTAGTCTAATAAACTTCCAGATCTCGCTTTTTTTGTCAGCTATGTCATCCCTCGGTTCATTCACGGTTGCGACAAACCCCGTCTAGAGAACAAAACACCAGGTGTTTTTTAGAATGACTGAACAGAGCAAAACGTTCCATAGTAGCTTTGACATAACAGATACCTGGTTGTCAGTCTACAGTCCGGAATCCATACTCATCGATTTCAACACACCACTGTAGGCTGTTGTTCACAGTTCTCTCGTGAAGCCGAACAGCTCGAATACCGGTAGTTAGCAAGGCAGCGCTGATTAAAACGAGGTCTGATGTGCACCAAAACCATTAGTCTTAGACTCCTTTCTCGTTTTTCAAATTTCAGTCACCTGTACGCCAATGAACACAAGACTGGATTTTATGGGTAGACGATGGAAATATTTGAAAGGAACGTCAACTTTCTGATTTGATTTCTATTCATTTATCAAAAATGTTCTATGTCGAAGGCACAGATGTACCCGAGCAAAATCTGCATATAGTCTCACAAAACGTGTTCAAATGAGGCAATTTTAGCTCTTGGTCAAAAGCATGTAAAGACGAAGGGATAACCACTGCTTTTCACGGCCGTCCTTCGTCCACAATAAACGCCAGGTCTATGTTTGAAAAATGGTAACCGTATTGAAAAGGAACAAGAAGACGCATACAGAAAATATGGAGGTCGTTACGGTAGATATGATGAAAGGATCACAGTGGCCCATTCACCATTTTTCCGCCAATATCTGATATGTGGCATGTTTAATTACGTAAAGAACCAACAAACAGTTATCGGAGCTTTTGAAATCAAGCGTTCGTGGTAAGAAAAATCTTGTCCTTTTTGTGGGATCCCTTGGAGTTCCAAGTAACAATCATCCTTCGAAATCTTCCCATGCGCCACTTTAAAGATCTTACGTCAAAGTTTTGGATTTTGGCCACCAACTGTGTTGTTTTATGACTCTTTTGAATTCAATGCATTGGATAGATCGCGCGCTGTTGGTTATGATTCAGTGTCATTTAAAGGACACCACTGGTCGCGTATTATTTTGAATGTAGTGTTCTTTAGGTGTTTGTGATGCCACCCGAAATCCCATGAAAAAAACAAATGAAAAACGGACTGCCTTACAATTCAAACACATATTAAACATCAGACTTTTTGATGAAAACTGCCTTACAATTCAAACACATATTAAACATCAGACTTTTTGCCACTCTTTCGTAGTTCAGTCGTAGTTGTGAAGGCACTCATGTGGTAGACTTTTGCAAAACCGTCAGAATGATGGTTGTGCTCATGAGAAAACTATATCTCCTGAGCTCATTGGTAGAGGACAAGCTCGGATGGTGGCACTGCAATAATCGGTGAGCAGATGAACATATTTAGGTTTTGGGATAGAGGCAAGCTTCATTAAGCCCGTTGTATTCGTGTAAAACCCGGCTCAAACAGACAGCAAAATTATACTTTGTTTAAAGATATTCCTTTGTTATATTTGGATCTGTTGGTGATCGTGGTTTTCTGGTTTTAGAGTCGCCCCAATTTGAATGATCCTCCCACCCTCCTTGCTCAGCTGTTCTCGTGAATCTACACCGAACGGGAAAACACTAGACTTGATATTAGCCTTTATTAGAGCTCAACAGCAGTGTACATCCTTGGCCATCCGGATTTGAATTCCGGACACCTGACAGACAAGTATTGCGCTTCTCTATCACCGCATACTGAAGGTGTTTGAATTACAAGGTTTGAACAAACAAATATGTCTATTCTTCAACGATGCGTTTGGTTTGCCCGAGTTATTGGGTGGTCTTTGAAGCACGCAGCTGATAAGTGGACATCATCGCTTCTTCCGACGTGATGATTCAGGCCCATCTACCGTACGCCGAGAGAGTAGTGGTAACTCTGATGCCTGGCGCATCTGATGGCTGGAATTCAAATCGTGATACATACAGAAATATGCACATCTGCCAGGCTCTAATAATGACGAAAATCAAGTTCATCGCTGCTTCCCCCCTCTGGTGATCGCTCGTAAGAATCGTTACATTAGGAACTGACTTTGTTGGAAATCCTGGTTTCCTGCCACTTTTCAAAACAAGCTTGAGCGATTTCTGCCCGGCGGTTCAAACATACTTTCAGCAAACCATAAAAAGACAGCCGGCTAATAGCTTCATAACTAGGATCATTTTTTGTACATTTGGTGATGGTACAATGAACTAAATGACATCGATTGACCCAGAATGTCAGTCAGTTCATCGTACAGCTCCAGATGATTTAAAGAGAAATTTGAATACTCTGAAAAGGTGAACGCTATGCCTAGGTGGATCAAGACCCAAATGTTATGCCTTGTAAAATGTGTACCGGCAAGCTTTTAAGAAGATTCCGTCCCGCCTGATTACTTCCACCTGCTTCACGGAAAACAAATGGCTTCTGCATTGCGAGTTGTTGGCAGACAACCAGATCCAAAATGTCTCACTTCGCTTGTTCCTCAACCAGCAGTCAAACAGCACAGACACAAATGAGCAAAAAAAGACGGAATAGACTTACTGGCAATTCTTTCAGTTTCCCGCTAAGATATTTGGCCACCAGCTGATGAATTTGTTGCTTCTGTTTCTCAGTTAACTGTCCATATGACGCACGATCACGATTATTCTGAAGAAATCCATATGGAAAGATAACCTCTCATGGGATTGCGGAACACATGTATTTAAGAGCGCAAACAACAAAAGATGGGGTACGACCAAATTTCCAGTTCAAATAACTGAAGTATGGATTGGTTCCAACAGGACAATTGACCCGGTGATACACGCAAAGGTATTTGCACCATAAATAGGGATCCATCAGTCAGGTTACGAAACCAACGTAGGCAATCATGAGGGTGTTAACTTTTTCTTCGATATACTGGCCTCCAGAATCGTCCTCTATGGGAGGTTTCCAGAGCTGGATTATTCAACCTTATAGCGATACTCCAACCCGAAAGATGCAGTAACAGTGATAACTAGTCAGTCAGGTCACACATGTATGGAGACAAAAAACCCTTCTGGTGTGCGTCTCAGCACGTAATCGCTGCGCTAAATTGATGATGTGGCCCGGCAGCCACGTTAATTGTGACTGCCATGAATGGAGTTAAAGTGATAAAAAATCGTAGTAAATATGGAATCCGAAGGTAGCGTTTGGTTATTTTCTGGCTGACTGATTTATCAATTAGGTTGAGTTCATCCTATTAGGCTTCAAAAACCAGGTTCAAGGTCATGGACAAGGGATATAAGTTGACCTTCTCGTTCTGATGTACAGTTACGGAGCTACAGTCTAGGTCAACTTCATCTCTGTAGGAGCGAGTCGCATAACTTAGACTGAAAAGCTCAAAGTGTGGATGGCGTCAACCGGACGTCAGAATTCGGAAGGGTTCATACCTCTTTCAAAGGGGTTGCGGATCATAATGTTCACACGGATTGGTGAAGAATGCAGTGTCTTTTGTTCCTGACAAGAGTGATACGCTTGTACGGTAGCTCTTGTTCACTTAAGCAGACCGATTTAGCCTGGATGACGAAACATAATAGCGAGACGACTTGCCTGAAAGTTCTACAGCCCAAACCTTCCATCTGATCATGGAAACATAGCAAAAATAACCCGAACACAGCTTCACAATTACTCGGGCTAGTATATTGGGATTATTGTCCCATTTTTCACGCACTGTAGACAAAGTATATCACTTGAAAGGGCACATGCATTAGCCCGTAGCTTTCCTCTTCTCTGAAAACTATCATCTCTTTATTGTGAACATCTGACGGTCTGGAAAGTACCGAATGCTTGTGGGGTTTGTTATTACAGGGCAACGAGTGAAGACAGTGCAGTTCACCGTCAACCCCACTTTGTGTAAAACCCGAAATAATGATGGATGTTCTTGTCTCTTCCTGTTGTCTGAGAACTTAAGGCTTTCCAGTTACCCTATATAAAGTTCGCAAAACCACTTTTCAAACAGGGCACACCACCGACTTTCAAAATCATGTTCCATACCATACTCATTACAAGATCGAACATTCGACATCAAATCGGTTGTCACTAAGTATTGAATCGATCCATCCGGATATGGACCACCTTCCTCCTATGAGCATGTCTCGCGGAAGTCCCTATTCTGAATGGGAACTGTACTGTCATTACCAACGATTATGTTTGGTACATTTGAACATAGAAGTTCTTTAGCAAACCTGGCACTTGTTCCAGTTTTGACGACAGTGCGATCGATTAAAAATTAATCACAGCTAAAACCAAAGTTTTCGGTGAACCTTGGACGATGGGAGTTGCTCACATGCCCCTGGACACATAGTACACAACTGCAAACTTTGTCTTACTTATCGCTGCGTTTTGTGCAGCCAATCGTCTTACTAGTCGGTTAAAAGTGGTGGTAAAGAAATATGAGCGTTGTCGAATTTAACCCAATCCTTAATTTCAAATGCCGAATAGACGTACAAAAATAGATCTATTCACCAGAAATGCAAATGATGTCACTTTAGCCGCTATTTTACTGAAACTTGTTAGTTGCTTCGTGTGAGATGAAAGCAGAGTAAGACAAAGTATTGCGATTTTTAAGCTCCGGATTCGATCCACACGTGGACATTTTAAATCAGCTGCTGGTTTCTAGTTTGCTTCATTAATAAGAAGTAAATAAGTAATAAGTAAGTAAGTAAATAAGTAAGTGATAAATTATTAAGTAATAAGAAGTAAAACAAAATTTTAAATTTGGTCATTAAAATGTTCATTTTCAATCAGTGAAGTAAATTATTTTTTGAAGAAATCTGATAAAGCGTCGAGTTTCTGTTTTGATAACATGCTAACGAATTTCACGCGCGATTTCCCTATGAACATTTTAAGACTGTATGATCACTTTTTTTGCGAAAAAAACAATCTTTATGCCACTATAATGAAATCATGATTTATACTACTTGATTTCTACTACTACTACCACAACTCACCAAAGTGTCGTACATCAACAACTCCTGCTTTAATAGGATATTCTCATCCCGAAGCCGTTTTATAAGCATCTGTCAGAAGACAAATTGGAAACAACGGTCAGCCACAAATTAGAAAAACTTTCGTGAACCAGAGGATTTCACGACTGAAATTGAAATTAACCATTCCTCCTGGTTAACCGCAAGGTTAATCTTACGTTCCAATAGTCTAAAAGCAGCTTCCCAAACTCCGCAACACTGTTTAATATTAGGCTCATTTAGATGAAGAATTTGTTTACGATCATCACCGTCATCATCAACATCATCCTCGTCGTCGTCGACAGCACCACCAGATTAGAAAACCGTTGCTTACAACCGCCTAAGACTAACTTACTAAAAACTCCCAATTATGGGTAGCGTACAACAAACATATGAGGTACTCACACCTCTAACACTCAGTCAGACAATTTGAATAGAAACTGGCGACATGAACGCCACTGACATATTTTATTCGCCAGGAATTCGGCGCCCCTAACCAAGCACAGATTAATTCAAGTAAATCCGGTCTGAAGGGGCGAACGGCATTAACTGCATCTAAACATTGCGCGTTGCCATTCAATCTCTTTTGCTATGTCAAATTCTGTTCGCCTAGAGGTTTCTCTCCCTCTAAATGAGTCACAAAACCAACGCCCGTCTTGGTAGATGGTAAATCGGCATCCGTGAAGCACGACCCAGCCAGCTGAACTTGCATTGCTGGAAGTAGTCTTTGAGTGAACACCGTCAGCTTCAAAAAAACCTCATCTCCTGGTTTTGGTTCTCAGAGCTATTACGATTCATGAAAAGTACAAAATATTTTCCGGTCCCATTTCATGCACATTAATTGTGTAGTCATGCCTATGGGAATGTAAACCCATTCTCTCCAACACGGATAGGCAGACGAATGTGTTAGGAGAAGAACTTGAATGCCCGTATTCTCGTTTTAATTCCTTCCGGAAAGTAGAACAGTATTCATAAGTGGATAAATTCATCTCAAGCTAAACAGAAGCACTCATCCGAACCAAGCACCTTGGACGTGAACTACCCTTGTCACCAGGTCAACCCGCACCAGTGGGTCCGAAATGTTGAACGGATTTCTACTCGTGAACTGTGACCCGAATGCACTGATCGTTCTCTAAGTCACAACCATTCAGCCAAATAAAAGGACCAACAAAACACTTTCCTAGGGGTAATCCAGCTTCATTAACCAATCCACAATCATGATGTTCTCAAATCCTATCAAATACAATTTGTCTGTATTTCTTTCTTGATACCTCCTTACCTTAATGTCTTCATGTTCCTGAACTGCTGGATGACAAGGAATGCGCATCACACGACTGGCGAATCGAAGGGTTGAAATCTGTTTGTAAAATGAAGGAAAGGACAGAAAAACTAAAAAACAGCAAATAATCCTGCTTCATATGTGCCATATCGATTTAAGTGACGAGTGATTATGAATGGCTTAAATTAAATATGGGATGGAGTTTCATCGTTACAAACTCAAAGGGGTCATTCATTGCTTTTCTGTTGCGCGTGGAGTTGGAGGAACGTCTTTGTCCGCTCGTCATTTTGAGACCCACACTATGGGCCTTCTCCGGTACAATTGTGTATCATTCATGTCATCGATCAACACCATCCTAACCGTTCACATGTGGAAGGGGACTTACAGCTATTCGACACCTGTGGCTACTTGAAGAGCTCAAAAAGGGGGAAAAGCGGCAGTGAGCGTTCGAAGCGGTCGAAGATATTTTTTGAAATGGTAAGTAGTATTTAACCAGGAGAAAATACATCCATAATTTAAAAAAACGGTCCGATGCAAATATGGGATGCCCTCAATATCGAGGTAGTGTGGATACGAGTACAAACCTAGAGTGCGTCACACAAAGTGAAGCCGCCTTATTCAAATGGATTGCATAGGGTAGGTAACATCAGATGAAAGTTTATTGACAGGTAAACTACGCGAGTCAAGATGAGCGCTGTCGATGGGACCGGGACCCCGCTGTGAAAACATCCTCCTCAAGGCCCAGGGAAAAAAGGAGAACAAAGTAACTTACAGCAATACGGGACATGAAGATCATTTGGTCTGCATGAATCAATGGAGGCTTGCTGACCGCATTAAATAGCGTTCAACGGGCGTGGGTGTTTTGTGCAAAAACAAATCAACGAACAACGATATTTAACAGGGTAAGCGTTAGTATCAGCCAATTTCTGTCCTGAAAATTACAAAGGTGCTAATTCGAGATCTGTATTGTATGCTCAGTGGACCACCACACGCAACATTTGTACACAAGCGAAGTTTCGGGCAAATGAGACTCAAGATAAGAGGGAATGAACCTAGACAAATTGAGTTGGAGCGATTTTGATTAAGTTTTATTTGAGATGTGAGTAAAGAAAAGATAACAGCAGCTGAATTGCACCCTATCTAACCCGATTCGCTTGCTGAACGGATAGCTGGCACTGCATTTCACTGTGAAATGCTGTGGACCACCTACGTATTGGGAGGGGTCACTAAAAACAGACATCCTTTCTGGGCCTATATCATCTAGAAAAAACTGGTTAGCATAATGTAATTGTTTCGTGGACGCGTCGGACTAGTATACAGTAGTGTTACTAATGAGTTTCGCTTCTCAGGATCTACGGTTTTCATTCATTCATGAACTGCAGCCTCAAAATTACTTCAGTAACCTACCACTGTCAAACAGGTTGGCATTACCAAGTCTTTTTGGTGCAATAAAAAAGGAGAAACAATTTACTCAGCCATGGGTGCTTTTACCAAAGCCGACTAACTACATTTTGGGCTTCAAAGATGTGAATACCGCAATCATCTGACAGCTTTATTGTTCAATAATAAATATGACCCCGTAATTTGCCTTGCTGTTCCATTTTCATATTTTTCAGGCTTAAAGAGGAAAACTGTGGATTCTATTGTGACCCTTAAACCATAAGTTTAGAGGCACGCTAAATTTGTAGTCAAGCTGCACAGTGACCCTCAATAAACGGATACTCAAAAAATACAGTAATTGTTCGAATTCCAAACCGATGTTTGCTCACGGCCGGGATTGCACTTCATTCTGTGCCGATCTATATGGCGCAACTCCTTCGTAAACACTTTCTCATGGTTCATAGGTGACGCTACGTGTTTCACTGACTCTCGTTATTCTTAGATTTACTTACATATTTACTTACATAATGAAAACGAACATTTTGATGAACACAGCTCTAGTTGAATTGACTTGACATATTAATAATACTCGTCCTCAAATACTCCTCAATTTTTGAACACCGAAATAGCCATTGACCAAAAAATCACGGTCGTCTACTATCTTAGTCATCAGAGTGGATCTGGAAATTTGGAGTAAAATCATACTACTTATTAACCTACACACCGTATCGGAATAATTAAAGTAGTGTTTTCACCGTGACAGGTGCATAAATAGTAGCAACTAATGTGAAATCCTGAGTAAGCCCAAAATGGTTCTTTTTTAGGCCAACTGTTGCTCTCGGAAAAAGAAACTCTTTGAAAAATGAACAGTGAGAGCAGACACGAAGAAAATTATGGAATTTTGATGCATGTTGCTTTGAGTATTGTGGTAAGCCAGTCGACCTCCAACAACAGACCACTGAAAGCAAGAACGTACTTGTAATTCCTTTCCTTCTATCAAAAGTATTTTGATCATGTCGAAAAAGTGATGAACTTATGTCGTGTCTGTAAAAATCAAACCGCCGTGCTGATACGGACTTCACCAGTAATTTAGCTGTATCACCGAAAAAGTAAACTTGACTGTGTTTTTCACCAACTGATGAAAGGGGATAACCTACCGTTTCTTCCAAAAACCGGTCCTCATTCCACACATTTGCGATGAAAACAGTTCTACATTTGCCTCCAACGGAATTCTTCAGGAAGTGGGTCAACTTCGACTGTCTGTAAGGCACATGTGAACGACCCGTATCAGACAGAGCCAGCACCATTTGCTCCAAAAACGAAAGGGAACGGTTGATGAAGGTGGCTTCCTTGAGCAATCGGCCATCAGACTATCGACATCAAAAAGTAGGAAAAAGATTCCTCCAGAGTTCGCGATTACTCATTATAGCATAAGATGCATATGGGTTCACTTAATATCTGAAAGTCAGAAATTTAAATGACACAGAAAACGCCTCTAGACTGGACAAAATAAAACGACATCAGCAAACCTACAAACCTTCAAGTTTCTTTATCCCTCAATTCCCCTCCCGAATGTTCCAAACCACTAACTAAGCGTCAAACCATGCAATCATTGACATCCTAAGATACGTTGATGAGCTTTACTAATTTCGTTTCCAGGTTGTCTTGTTACGCTTTTTGTGCCTTACAATAGGAATATCCAGCCCTAGCAAGTGGACTACCATGAGGCTATTTCTCACTCATCATGCGAAGCACATGATCAAAACAACGCAACTAGGGATTTCAGATAAGCAAGCCGTTCATCCACTGGGTAAAACCAGTAAAAGGTCCCCAGCATTAGTAATACGATGTTGTCATCATACGTATGCTGGACGGTGTTTCGGCATGCGTAGCACGTTGCCGAGCCATCGTAGTTGGTGGTGCTGGATGTTTTCCCCGGTTGAAAAGAGATTTTTCAAGAAATGGAGGCTACTCGATGCCGATGTCGTTCGTGCTGTCAGTTACTTTCCAGAATATCCGATTGGTCGCCTGGAGGCATCTGAGAAAGCTCGATATAGGCCCGCACTAGATCCTCTTCCTCATTCACTCTTTTCCCCCTCTTTTCACTGTAGGGTCTTAAATATAATTAAACGAACCTTATGATTGTACAACAGTGAGGCATCATTGTCGATAGGGATGTTGCTGTCTTTGATGGTAATGATGATGGCATATGCTAGACTTAAAGAGTGCTGATGGCCACAAGCGTATTCATAAATCACAACAAAACGCGATACCAAAAGTACCAACGCATTTTGAAACCTCTTTCACTGAGCCATAAAGGATGCGTTATATTGGTAGCTACTAATCACCATCATCATCATCATCATCATCATCATCATCATCATCATCATGTTCAGCTGTGAGAACCGCGTACTTGTCATACAGTGGTTGTAGCTGCCACAGTTTCGTTCACCGATGATTCGGGGAGGTAGGATAAGTAGCTGCTCATTGGAGCCGGCAGCTAATAAATCAATGCGTAAATACAGTACTGTCGATGAACTGTTATGTGGGTGGATTCTGGAGGGAGTAACGCATTGAAGGCAGTGGCTTGGATGCATGAGCGCCATTGAGGGTATGAATGGGACATGTCTTACGATGTCTCTAACCACTTATGTGGCCCGTCTCGGGGTCCCCATCCAGAAAGCCGGCAGCACAGCTGAGTTTGCTAGTAATGGCTTTTATACTTCGCTGCCAAGTCATTCTTTGGTCGCCCCTGGCTCTCTTCCACCCTTCACGTGGTTATGCGGAAAAAGCCCTCCGAAGTCGATCAACTGGCATACGCAGCACGTGGCCAAGCCAGAGCAACCGATAGAGTGTGATCAGTTCATATATCGAGGGTGAGTTATTTCTTCCGAATAGCATTCGACGAACTTCAACATTGCTTATCCGGTGTTCTCACTAGGTTCAAGCAACTCCTCGAAGACATCGATGGTCAAAAACTGAAAGTCTTTTGACGTCCTCGGCGTGCAGCGGCTACCAAAGTAACATGAAAAGCGGACAATAGAATCAGCTAAACGCCCCCAAATGACTTAAATAGATGTTGTCGTCAGCCAAATATGAAACAACGCGTTGGCTTTAGCCACACTCATCTTACAACAGGAGAATGTTGAGCTACGTCAGAACTATGTTTTCTTGCCTAAGCCTAAGGAAAATTGCAGCCGCCAGTCGTTCTTGGTGCAAGAGCTGAGAGATCTGTGGTCCATGCCTGAATGTGGATTATTTTGTTGTGATTTGGAGTCGGTTATTTCAGTGTAACTATAGAGGAAAAGGATAAATACGATCTAAACTTCATCTGTTACCTTTGTCTTCTGAACACGTTCCGATCCAGCCAAGTCGACAAAGTTGATTCGGCTTGTTCGGAGACACGTCTGACTACCGTCGGCGATGGATCGCACCGTAAGATAGACGGTGAAAATTGTATGAGCCCGAGATGAAACCCGGTTCAACACGTGTGTTCCAACTGTTCTTGTTCTGTTGGTTCACCCTGGAATAGTAGTAATATTCAGAATCTTTTGTATTCTTTTACTCTGTAGAAAGATATTCGATCAAAAAGACAACACTGCAGTTCAGCAGTTAGAAGCAAGTATTTCCTCGTGATGTCCACGATAACTTTGGACGCCTGTACTTGCAAATGGTTACTCGTGAGTGTTACGGTTCGGTCACGCAGCGAGCAAACAATATGATAATGCGGATTGTGGCAATACTCTATCCCCAGCTATGTTGCTTGATACAGACTCCTAGCACGGCGAATAGTAAGAAGACGAGAACCTCGGACACAAACTTTAATAATCCAACAACACACGATCAACAGGCGATGCCCGGAGCTTCCGAACCCAAGTCAGTGGAAAGAATGGTATCCTGTACGTGGTCGGATTTAAATTTTCTTGGAGTATCAATAGGCCATTGATTTTTCATAGTTTGACCTTGAAGATGCCAGGAGTTCGCTAGAACACATAAAAACAGCGTTTTCTGGGGGATATTGATATCCCCAACAGTGAGGAACTCACAGCTAACTTTATCCACCAAAAAGCGTACCGACCATTCAACATATAACGTGTAACTTTTTGGACAGTGTGAAAGCAGTTTATCAGGATCAAGAATTTCCGCCTCGGTTCACTAAGGATATCTTTGAGCAGAAATTCCGTCAACCGGACGAACCATCAAACATTTCTTGATGAAATAATGGTGGATCAAAACTAAAGAAATTACAAGTGAGCTTTTCAAGGTAAGTCCTTGTATTGAACTTTTTGTCATTGGGTGAAATGTTGAAATCTAACACTTCACAACAATCCTTATTTTCTAGGTAGGCCTAAACCTAATAAAATGACTTGAAATTTCCCGCTCTTAGTTTTTCAAGGACTAGGAGACAATTCAATGATCCAGAGTCTACGCATTAATTTCCCTCCTTCTCTCCATGAATTTAACTGTATATTGTAACTCACCTCTTGTGGCAGCTCTGGAAGGAACACCGTAAGGAGAGAAAACCACTCGCGTGCTCCTATGGTATTGAGTATATTCACAAACTGCGAAATGTGGGACTAGCTTATAATACTTTCGCAGCACTTTCGTTCGTATGGCTCGAGCCCAAAACTGAAAATTTGGAAAGCCCTGAACTTGAGTTTTGCTCTGACTATAGATACTTAGCAGTGAGGCTATTTGACCGTAAACTCCAAAGATCTGACACCTGGTCTGAATTACCAAGTATGAAGAGGTAAATGTGTTCAGTTTTGAGCGATGTTATTGATTTTCCAGGCCCTTTGAACCATGACCAATAGTGCTAGCCTATTGACCTCCAAAGCCGCCCAAAACCTAGCAAATTCTAGCGGAATTGCTGGAATCGGCATTCACATCACTATCGCCAGAAAAGTCCTCCTTTGTTGACAATAATTCCGACAAACCAATGAAAACATTCAAGCCTTGACAGGTTTGTCACTTCAGATATGGTAATTCGGATGCGTCTAGCGTGCGTAGCTGGTACAGTAGTAGTGCTGTTGAGTGGCACTTCAGATGGTACAATTCAACTCCCGAAACGCTGGTGAGCTATGACGAGTAACCCGAGCCCAGAGGTTTCCATCTTTTTCCTGTAAATCAACACGGAATAATTAGGCAAAGAAAGCAGGGTTTTTCAAACGGGAGTAATGTGAATTGAAATGCTACAACTCACAAGAACTTGATCATCTAACCAGGTAGTGCATTCAACATAACACAGGTTGCATCTAGCTGGAAAACCTATTGGTGGATTTTGTTCTGTTTCGTAAATTTGTCCTAAACGGCCTTAACATTGCTCACCCGTGGAGGGATCAAATCGATAGCCACCAGGCAAGAGTAAAACTTACTTCAAACAAGAGCGCAAGCGCGTCATCAAGACTGTTCACTTGCGGGCAAAAGAGTCCTTTCACCGAAACTTCGTCACCTATATCAGATATGACTAGGGACTCGGCCGCTGTACTGGATACCGCAGATTGGAGTAAGTCTGCCATCTTCTCGTTGTAAATTTCTACATACGATATTCTGTAAGAGAACATGATTTGTTGATGCGGTGAAGTGAATTTTATTGCCAGTTTAAAGTCACCGTACATAGTGAATACATGAGCTGATATGTCTGTGTCAGACATTCATCATCGAGAATAAAAAAGATGCTGTTCAGTCAAGGCAAGAAAACGGTGGTTTATCTCAGTTGCCTGGCTTCTGCTCCTCCGTTTCATTTTCTTTGCAAGGTCAGGACTTACTTCCCTTTCAGCGTCATTTGATGATATCCAAATTCCTGGTAAATTTTTAGGGAATGAGCTACTGAGAGTGCATACAACATTCCAGAGTAGTATATACCGCAGAAGTTATTTATGCCATGACTGCGTGTACCTCGAGTTAGAGGGAGTCAAGAAATATACTTCTGTCATGTGTTATTGACTTCATTTTCAGTTGCACTCCAAAGAATATCACTTGGATTTAAAATCTCTTGGATACCTCTCCATCAAAAATGATTGCCACTGGTGATGCAATGCAAAAGTTCGATGTTATCAAACTGATAAAACATGATGAGCAGTCTTGTAACCGACCGTCTAATAACAACTCAGAATACAACTTGTGAGTCATGGTGTGAAGCTTTTTGAAACTGTCTTATCTCGAGAGGGAACTGAATGCATGCCGGTTGAACCTTTCAGGGTCCCAGGTAGTGTTTTTTGACGTTTACCAAACAGACTTTGCTTGTGGACAGTGACATCGCTAACACTGAGGTATTCGTCAAAAATTCTGTGGTTACTCTATGCCAAAAGATATGGGGGTTTCTCCCATCTCCCCCACTTGAAATTGGTAATACAATCTGAAGTACATTTCAGGCGGATCCCCACCATTGCAGTTCAAAGCATCCTGAAACGGTCCTCCGTTTCTTTAGAACACTGGTAATCCTATGAAGGCAGCAAGCAATCCATCGTCACCTAACCATTGAGCCAGCAAAGATGGGTTGAATGCGAGCCAAAATTCAACGTTTGCAGATGCGGATGAGAGGTCGAAACTCCGAATTATCTGGAAGGCAGTGTTAACAGCTGAGATATTTGTTCATTAGTAAGTGAATATGAATGAAAGGTTTGGACATACATTGTGAGTGATATCTCCTACGCGTTGTCTTGATGCTCTTTTGGAAGACGCTAATCTTCAAAGATGTTGTATGAAATTGCCAATGCAAGACGTGACCTTGATACAAACTTTGACAGTGTATAATGTTTGCACGCAAATCGAACACAACTAACAACGCTATAAAATCGGCACTGTAAGGTCTGTCCCTAGTGTGACCGACAAAGGCCGACAGAAATTTCACTCGCATAAAAAACATCTTAGGTATATACGGGCCGACAGCACGTGATTGAGTGGTTTTGAAGACCGGACCACTAAGGAACCACGTACCGAATTTTGTACTCTGATCTGGCGGAACTGATCATATGACTAAATCAATTTAACTGCCTTCGGTATGGAAGAGAACTTTTTCGGGTAAAAAGACGAAACAACGAGGATTTTTGATCTGTTAGTCAGCATTCAGAATCGTCCCAGCAACGCATCACTATGTGGTTCCTACAGCTCAATTCAAGCCAGCTGGAATTGAGACAACACACGAAAGTCCCAGTTGCGTACATGGCGATAGACGAAAGACCGCCTACCATTCCGAGGTGTTTTGAGAGAAACTGGTGTTCGACAACCAGCTGACTCGGTAGGGACTCTCGTGGACCGAAAAGAGGGGAAATATCACAAGGTGAAAAAGGAAGAACAGGTTTTTGTTTAGTCTCTCGCGTAAAAAGAGATCTGTACAAATATTAGGAGTGAGAGGCTGATGGTGAATAAAGTGACCACTGCCGGTTGAGTGGAGAAGACGAGACTCAGTTGACATGGGGCACAGTACTAACCAGTGAGATCTTGTTGAGGAGATGGCATAGTCTGCCTTCTTCACAATGGGCCCGTTTTGGTAACACATCGAATGAAAAATGGCTTTTTAGTTGTTCAGGGGGCACATTGCCCGGATCAGGTTTTGGCCTGTGAATAAAGTTAAGCTCAATCACTTGATCATGACTGACGTCTGTGAAAATAGGTGGGGTGGAGAATAAGGATGGTGAGGAGTTCCACAGTCAAACTCCACTCTGGTGCTGTCACTTTTGTCAGTTATGGGGGGACTGGGGTACGGAGGTGGGCTGAAGTAGAGGTTTGGACCACTCGAAAAACGAACATCTGTCACATGCCAATAGTAGGATCCTGGAGCTGAACTCGAAAAATAATCAAGTGCGTTTGGGTGTGTCCTTGTGGAGTAAGCGCGTTCTGTACTGCCTTCCGGGAGGTGTAGAGACAACATGGCGGTCGAGTGAATTATGGTCTATCACCATTCGTTAACGTGGAATTCTGAAAATGGTCCCATACTAATCCACGCGTTATCTCCTGTTATATCGTTGTACCAACTATTACAAAGTGCATGAGATGGGTCGGTGATTGGATTAAGGGCTCGCTTATTCACATATTTATTTAGCATTTCGAAGATAACGAAGTGTTATCAGATAGTACCTTCCTCCATAGTCCTATTTTAACGTGTGTTGGATGCAACCGTATCAGTTTCCGACCTGAATTGTCCTAACTCGAAGGTGATTTCTAATTCTTTCCCCTGCACCACAACAGTCAAACAGAAAACACACTTTGGTCGATTTCACTAACAACCAATAGTAAAACCATTTTGTTGTCATGACAACTGAATCACACATCAAATTTACACACAGATCAGTCATCACAAAATGATCGCAGATATATTAAGTACAAAGTCGAATCAGTATTGTTTTTATCTTCAGCACCATTATTAGCTGCTAAAACCGCTTACTCGTCGTTTTTATTGAACAAAAGGACAAATTTAGCATCTTCCAGCGCCTAAAATGAATAGTTGTTGCATATTTTGTATAAAAACTCCTCCCCATAAGACCTTCATGCAAAGTCAAAGGTCTATTTTCACCAACTTTTTGGTCTCACTAATTTATTTTTAAACAGCGATAATTGGGGGGCCTTCCACAACTTGGAGTTCACATCCAGTCATGGATCAACCGGATTCGCGACCATTTTTAACTCAAAGGAAATGGAATTTATCAGGAACACAAACCAGGGGGTTAAGATTAGTTCAGTGTTTACGATCCCCTTTTATACGGGCGTCTATATAACCCATTCCGGTTGTATACGGAATCCATAGATTGGAGAACTAATACCAACCTCGTACCGCGTACTCATAAAGAGTGGGAAAATCTAACGCTCACTGTAGTCCTCAATGTATTACTCTCAAGAGCATGGATCGATTTTCATCGATTAGCATCATTTTTCTACAGTTGGACTTATTGCAAGTTTAACTCTCGGCTGTGTACTACGTTAGCGTGACTGTGGAAATTCTTAAGTATTAACCTTAGACTATCGATCGGGTTTGTTAGAAAGCAATAAAAACTAGGAGAAGGAAAAATTCCGAAAGACACCTTTACACATTCACTTCCTTCCATTCATCCAGTCTTACGCATCCGGTTACAAGTTGACATATTATGTAGGACGCTCGAGCTTGGCAGCTCGAATTAGAATATAAGTTTTCGCTTCACTGAGACACAAAGTGAAGAATTCGATGAAGAGATTACTGGATTCATATTTTCAGGACCTGAATGAAACTCAACCACTTGGTCTCGTTGAATAACATGGTTTTAAAATAGATGTCCAGTCTGACAAATGTTCTGCTGAAAGAAGTGGAATAGTCAGAACAACCTCTGGTAGAGGGAGGACACTTCGTCCAGTAAGTAAATCAAATCTGTGCTGAAAAGCCTTCATCCTTATTAGGAATCATCAACGATGTGCAATTTGTGAGTCTCTAGACTGTTTCAAACCTACAACCTCCTGGCAAGTAGGTCAAGCACTTGGTCTTTTGAACACGCGACGCTAACCGGCAGTGTATTTGGACAACTCTTGGACAGCACTTGGACAACACATGGTGTCACGCATCCCTCAATCAAAGAGTTCGTACTTCCAGAACAAAATCCACTTTTAACTTGTTACCAGGACAGTTGACACATACATTCTGATCAATAACTTCATTCCCTCTTCAAAAACGTGGGAGGAAAACATGTTCAAATGATCGTTTGCTAGATCTGTTGCTTTTGTTTCCATAGAACCCCCGTATTCATCGTGGTTGCAAAATTCAATTTTCTACGAACTGGTTGACTCACGCGAGATAGCATCGTGGGCGTTTAACCAGAAGATTAGAACAGATAGAGCAACCATCATCTCGGAAAAGTTTGATAACCGACCAATTGGTATATTCCTCTGTATGGTCTTGGTTTTGACACGCAAAAATATCAGTACAAATAGATAATTCAACAGACAGTCTAAGAAGAGAAAAACTAGAGAGACCAAACTGAGGTCCCATCGATTTTACTCATAGTATTCTTCAACTTACTGCGCCCAAAGGGTCTGCAACATGCATCAGGCAGAAAGATACATAAGATATCAAACTATTTTTGTTGGTTGGGCACACGATCGACAAAAATCCTAGACAGTACACAATAAATGATGCAATAGACAAGATATACATGGACTAAATGCTTTCTGCCTTAGTACTTTGTTCCTTTTGTAACGTGAAGCATCCTTTCGAGGATATATTTATTTGAAGCTCATCATAAATACATGTTCGATTTAATTTCTGCCGGGTTAGAAACAACTAGCCAACTTATTCACTTGGTTTGATAATGTTCCTCTGGAAATCACGTTCAATATATTGTCAAAATTTCCCTACCCCAAAAACCTTCTCATAAGGCGTTCAAAGCAAGTATTCACATGCATTTTGGGTGCATGTTTACACGGACCGATATTTCCGTACGGCAGAGTTTCATCAAACAGACTAAGTAAGCTAATCTACCACGTGTAGAGAGCTGGAAAAGCGGTTTCTGTGCGCGTTTTGACAACTAATTAGTGCTTTGTATCAGATGACTATTAAAATGCCTGAACTATCCGGCAACTCGCAGGCAGGAAGAACCCGAGAGTTCGTAATTTAAATAACCGACAACCACAAGTAAGCCACTAGCAATCAATTCAGACGATTTGGCGCTTATCACCCTCTCTTGCATTGGAGCTTCTAGCCAGATACATTTGGTCATCTTTCAAGTAAATGTAGTCCCACTAAATGGCTACAGTTTTATCTGGTACAAGGTGTCTCAGCGGCTAAAGCGCGAATTTCCCAACCAGAAGGTCCGTGGTTTGAACCGGATCTCTGCATCTCGGCTTCTTCTGTTTAGGCCTCAGTAATCTGGCAAAATCCCAGCCCTCGTGCTTCCTTCTAGTGGCCTGGCAGCTAGATACAAAAACGGTATTGCAGCTGGAGTATTATCTATCTATCTACCGTTTTATATGTGTATCCCCATTGTTCATGTGTTACCATATTCCAATTTGAGCCACAGACTACAACAAGTGACTGCCTCCTTCACTATCACTGGCACACTTATTAACAAAATTCGGGCACTCCTTTGTTGAAGCAGTAAATAAGTAACGTCGATTGTGCATCTCTTGGAACAAATATTTGCCGCTTTTTAGCTCTGAACTTTCGAGCTCAAGGGGACTCAACATTATCACCTGCTGATTGCTGACAATTTAATAAAGGTCAATATACCGGTTTTCCTCGGCCATCAGCAGTCAATTATTTTTATATAAATCTTGTTTGTCTAGGTCCGTTTAAATTTTGTGCTGCAGTGTGACCTCCAAAGAGAAATACGAAATTCAACAGCGTGGTATAAATTAAAATAAATACCCGTGACACTTCACAAATGGCACATACTGTTGAGCACCACTGAAAAGCTATGCGTAAAACTGATAATGGCTACTTTACCATGCATTCGCTTCTGATAAGTGAGTTTCAGCCAGATTCAAAAGACCGGAGACGTTTTGTCCTCCTTTTCTGTCGGATAGGTATGGGTTTCAAAGGTTTACACAACAGACAGTTCACGCTTCACACACAATTAGCACTCTGAAAAAGCCTAACTGGTGGAAAATTGTAGTCTCATGAAGAACCAATTACTTGAATGGCTCAATTGTAGTCAGAAACATGTAAACTTTAGGTTCTAAAAAAAAACTTAAAATCAACAAGCTGCTACCAATATCTACCAAACAACTATACTAACTTTAGTCTAGGCTAGCTTGATAAAAAAGAACTAACCTTACTGTAGCCTCATGCCTCTTTAATTGATTGATTTCCTCAAACAGTTGGGCTAGGGCCCGTGGAATGATGCCACGATCCGGATAAGCTTGCGCCACTCCGCTTATTGTGTATGTCTTTCCCGCTCCCGTCTGGCCATAACAAATGACCGTACCTATAAAAATACGCCAAGCAAAGGCCAATGTTTTGGTATGAGCTTGTCGAACCAATCAACAGGTGTTTTATGCTTTTGTCTAACTAAAAATCAAATCCGGAGAATCACTGAGAAGAAACTTAAAAAGATTTTCCATTAGTTTTTCTACCGGCATTCAGACAGATATAGAATTTCCGCAAAATATTAAAAATGAGAGCCACACAATTATATTTATAAAGCTGAAAATTTTTTAAATACCGTGTGTTTCATTCAAAAACATGCATACAGTGTGTCGAAAGTACTTTTCCTAGACCACCACGCGAGGCTTGCATCTGTTCTTCTCAACCTAGTCTTTAACCATAAGCAGAAAGTATTTTCTCAGGATTTCTATTGGCTTTAGGTACCAAACGTAATTATTTCCTAACCAGCATTCCCTAAAATTAACTATGTTTCTCTTTTTGTTATTCAACCTTTAGTCTACCCAGTAACATTTTTGAGCTATGTCATTCGAATTGCTTGTAATTAGTTAGAAAGTTTCCATTGTTATGCAGGCAACAAAGACACACCTAGTTTATTGGTAGGGGACGAAACCAGGAAAGAGGGTCAATGCATTTGAAAAACCACTCGCATACGCACAGATAAAAAAATGATTAGGATAGATTAAGCCCAAAACGGTTGAATAAATCATCATGGACGGTGATTATTAGATGCGGTAGTCTATTTGTTTATACAGTACAAACGTTTTCAAATCAGACTTGATAGAATTGTCGAAAAGTCCTGGAAAGTCCAGTCACTTACGGTCAACTAGTCTAAAAGATTTGATAAGCCGCGTTAAAAACAATTTAGTCGAATACTAGAGGAGACAAAATCCTCCCGATGAGTATATTTCTAGCTCTTGATCTACGGGAGATTTGATTTCTGCATGACATACATCTTAGCAGACTTTCAGAGTTTGTTGATCACGGTTAACGCCCACAATGTTCGACAAGGGAGCACCGTTTAGGACTGCATAAACCTTAGACTGTATTTGGTTGTGGCAAAGATCTCATCCTGGTGCGACGAAATGATATGAAGACATTTTCCAAGCAGTCAAAGTCTTGCACGTTTCATTAGAATTTCAAAATGCTACAAAAATCACAACTGGTCGTTAAAAAAGACAACCTTTCAACGCCGACAATCACTAGACAGTGACTAAAAGGAAGCAGAGCTAGAAGAGAACACCCTCACTGTATTTTGCATTAGAAGTATAAGAATTTTTAAGTCGTCCCAAATTTTAAGGAATAATCTCACCGCAGTAGACTCTAAGTATAAAATTGTCAATTCTCAGGCCGTAGTAAGAGAATAACGCTGATAGGCACTATAAGAGTTTAAAACATGCACATTTTCTGCAAATTAATAGCCTTGTTGGGAACAATAAGGTTAACAAGTTTTTTGAAAAACTTTTGAGGGTTCTGTTACCATTTTGTCAAGGCTACAAACCATGTCGCAATTAATTCTTGAATGCCTTAAACATTTTGAACATTTTGCGATGTAACTTGATTCACGTTTCTGCCATGTATTCTGAACATTTTAAACTTTTAATCACACCGTCATTTCTGGATGTGCATGAGTTCCAAATATACTACAATTGTTCAGCGGTGAATTTTCGTGGCTAAACAATGATTTTACTCTTCCAATGTTGACGACAATAATGAACTCTATTCTCAGAGATTTCGGTCACAGAACTCAGTTCTTTTAAACTATTTGTTGTTAAGGTCAGGCCGATAACCTCGTATCCACGCTAAGAAACTTCACGACAAGTGCTGTAAAAATAAAATCCGTCTCTATTTTGGAAACTTTCGCTTAATTAAACGTAGTCATTGCATAATAAAAGTACCCAAAATAGTGACTGTGGATGGAATACAACTTTGGATATGAGCACAGCAATTCAAAACTCAGCCGGGCCCCTTTTTTAACCTAATATTTACGTAGTGAGTATACTTCAATCACACACATTGTTAATGGTTGAAATATGTAAGTTTATTGATACAGTATCTCTTATTTAAACAGAATAACAACAAAATAATACCTATGGTGTTAAATTATAACGTCTTCTTCGATACATATATGGGAGTGATATTAAACCTCTTGAAAGCTAGTTACAAACACACAAGTAAATTGCATACTGTAAGGCAAGATATAATCGGATGATTAAAATTCTTGTGGGGTTAAAAACCATTACCAATGGAGCCACTTTTGTGAAATATTGTCATCAGCTACTCCAGCAAAAACGTCATCAGCAGTGAAAAGTACCCTGAATGCGACAATTATCAACAAAATATCAACAAGTTTGACCCTAGCAGCACATCTCGGTTATTAGTCGGTTATATGGCGGTTAAAGTCGGTTATTTGACGGTTATTTAACCGTGTAGCTATCACCTAATCAACATGAAGTGTTGTTGCCACACTTTTTCACATAAGTTTTTCTTATCACACAAAGTTTTGCATAAAACAAAAGTGCATTATTCCAATAGATTTTAAAAAACCCTCCTGACATATTTTGTTTATCTGCATCAGTGTTTAAGTAAATGGCCGTAGCCGCCAAGCCCATTCCCAGGATCGTCAGTGATCCACACTCCTACTGTCTCCTCGTGTTTGTGAATTTCTATCTGGAGGAATGGTAAGTCATGACTGCTGATACGTGTATGACAACTGTAGCCTTCCAAACGTGGTTTGCTCATTTCAAGGTGGACACTTAACCGCAAACTAAAGCGTGCTAGAGAGTTAGCCTTGGAACAACCACCCAATTCGATAAACGCACGCGACTTTCACCGTGCAGATCAGGAGATCGATTCACCAGCGCACAGTAAAAATGCCATTAGATGAATAATGTTCTAATTAGATGAACAAAAAAATGAGGCGGATAATGAAGAGGAGAATATGTGCAGCCTAGTTTGGCGGACATTTTCCGAGACTGGATGTTTTCGACCAATGTCCCCTTCAGTACCGTGGATTGCCTGCTTGTATCATTGCAGCATAAGCTTCCTAAACTGCCTCTAGGCTCGCGGACACTGAGGAGAACACCCCGGTCATGTCAAACTAGAGAAGTACCCCTAGGAGAATACATCCACTTTGGCATTGCGAACCGGCTTCGCCGGGTTGTGCCGATGTACTTGCCACCCCAACCTCATGTTATCCATTTACATATGAATGTAGATGGGACGAAGCTGCACAATAACGGTACAACCGTAATCTGGCCTATACTAGCACGTATTGTGCGGCCTTTAACTAGCCCAGTATTCCTTGTTGGGCTCTATGGAGGAGTTCGTAAACCCGAGGACGTTTGCACATACCTGCATGACGTAGTGCAGGAACTGAAAGAGCTACTGCGTCTGGGGGTTGTCGTTAATGACCTGCATCATCATGTCGTGTTGGATGCGCCTGTGTCTCCGACAGGTGTTGGCGAAGACTGTTACTGACAGCATTTGGATAATGAAATCCAAAAGTGGTTCGGTAACGCACGTCACCAACTGGCCCATAGAACGTGCATGGATCAGTTGGCAGTAAATTTCGACTTTGCACTGGGACAAGTTTATCAGTAGTAACCGATACATCGAATGCTTATACATACGTTTTGTCACTGTTTCAGACGTCCGTATTAAACCAAGAAGCTGGGATCATCAAATTGAACGTGCTTCCGAACTGACTCGGTTTGGTTGTGAAACAATTATTTTCGTATATCAAATATAATTTTATCCTTGTTTTGCGTCCTCTAAGATCCCGTTACCAGGTTTATTATCTGCAATTGATACGGCGATATGCACGGGTGTGGTTACCAGTGTAGGTCAGTCACGTTGCGTTTGTTAACCGCAAACCGTTTTGCGCGATTACTTAACCGTTGAACTCGATTGATAAGTGGTCAAGTAGCCATCAGATTGTCCCTCTAGAAAGGAATACGCTACGACACCGTTATTTAGCTTCTCCGTGGCCCTACAATGCGGTTAATGCGTGGTTACGTATACTATGTTAAGCCGTTATGACGACGTAGGATAGGTCCATTAAGAGCGACTAACAGTAGTATGGTGGTGATTTCACTAACGAGAGTCATTTAATCGTCCACTCACCAGTAGACCCGGCTAGTTAACCGTTAAACAACAGAAAAACATGGTTTAAACCGTAAAAATTTTTACGGTTATTTAACCGAGCAGTAGCCGGCAAACACGGTTATTTCACTGTTATTTAACCGAGCAATAACTGGAAACCAGTGATTTGACGGTTATTTAACCGAGCAACAACCGGAAAACTCGGTTATTTGACGGTTATCTTGGTGCAAATAACCATCTGTTAACCATAAAAGTCGGTTATTAGACGGTTATATAACCGTTGTATGACCGGAAAACTCGGTTACTTTGGACTGCGTGTGCTGCTAGGGGAGGTAAAAGGGAGGTTTTGTTTCTCTAGCTACTTGCGGCATTAGCGCGGTGATTTTCATTCATAACAGAGGTGTCCTTAATGTTATTAGAGCGGATAGTGGTATAAGGCAAGTCTTCGACAAGCCACAGACAGGGATTACGGTTAAATCCTCCCTGAGGCTCTCAGCCAAATCACAATAGCTTTAGTCCACCAACTTATTATCCTGGTGTGCATAAGCCGTGCGAAAAGTTTCACAAAACGTTGAGAAAACATAACTCTCAATAATTGGAACAGTATCCTCCGAAAAGTTTCAAAAACCATTTTGCATCACTGTGCCCACATATCTTCAAAATGCGATGCCAGACACCGGTGAATAACGCTCATCGTTGTCAAATGAACTCCTAATGATAGAGATGCATCTGAAAAACATTTTTGAATGGGTATATCATGAATTTGCTTTGTGCAAGTCTATAGAGAGGTGACAGTACAAAACGTGGTTGCAGTAAGTGTACGAGCGCAAAACCCAGTTATTATAACAGCCAATACATACTTTGTAGCAGGTGCAACAGTGGAATGAAATCACGGGCTACGTTCTGATAAAGAAAGCAGGATAGAGCAGGGTGACTAAA